TGATTTATTAAGCCTGACTATAAATTATTGTAGTTTTACGTTATATATTACAAGATTTTAATCAAATTTATATAAAGGAATTATAAATTATATTATTTTTTTTTTTCACATGTAAAGGTTTTTAGAAATTCGATTTTGGCGTGTCCTTTTAAATAGTGATAATTATATTAGTTTAAATTTTTCCCTTAAGATATATTGAATTATGATAGGTGCTTTCGTTTAAGTTTTATTCGAAGCAGTGTAAATGTAATTTTAATAATGTTAATATAATATTAATAGTTTTTAATAATAATAATATTTTGGTAAAAAGTTCATACCCCTAATTCCTGGATGACGGTATGGAGATGGAGAATTCACAGGTGAATATTTCTTTTCTAAATGGGTACTAGGACTATAATTGTGCATTCTTGAACAGTTTTCTGTTCACATATCCCATTACTACTTTTAATTTTTGCGTATCTTTCACGCATTTTCTTTTGTGAATAGAATTCTATTTCGAGTAAAACACATTGCTTCTGAAAAATAATGATGCGTTTAAATTAATTGCAAACATTTTCCGTGTACATGAAATTACTATTTTGTTCGAACTTCAGTATTCTAAAATTTCTGTAAGATAATAATTATTTAATTGGATTTTAAAAAAGCTGGAATGCACAAAGATGGTGATTACCTCTATTAAAACGAGTGGGCAACCTCGCGACCTCCTGGGTCCCACATGGAACGGCGAGATTAGTTAATTTTTCTCTCCTAAAACCATGGTTAAATGTTGGAAGTCCTCTTAAAATGTTTTAATTTTAAGAGGACTTTTGCTATTATTTGAGGTAGGTATGATAAAATAAATTTAATTTCATTATATTAATTCTTCCCTCATATAGTATACTGTCTTTTTTCAAATTCGTCTTCTGGGATTTAAATTTGAGAGGCCAATGGTCAAGGTGACTGAACTTCTAAAACGCATTGACATTTATGACTTTAAAAGCGTAGACTTGGACATAAATGTGTTATTTCAATAAAAGCAATTAAAAGAAGCTTATTTAATTTCAAGTTTTTGGTAGTCGCAAGATCAGAATTAAACACTCAATTCCCTCTTAAATGGTTTGCTGTTTCCAGCATAGTAGACAATTATAATTAAGGAATGTCATATCATCAATATATGTAGCTTTATTTGTTATTTTTTTCGATAAAATCGAACAAACCAACATACTTAATGCCATTGAGTTAAAGTCTTATTATATGAGTCCGTCAGTACTTAAGAATTCTACTTATTGTATCTTACTTGACGATGAAAGATGCGAAAAAATACTGTTCATTATGTGCATAGATATGTTTGGGGCATGGGCGGTTGAGGGTGGGTCCCCAAATAGCAGCATTCTATGCACATCGCTTTCATATAAAGTAACGAATGAAGACGAACTGATTCGAAATTTGAAATACTACACATGGTATTTTTTGCAATGCTTATTTCTTGAAAAATAATTTAACTATTTGTTAATGTGAGCAGCTAGGGAGGTGAAAATATTTTTCGAATTTCTTTCTTATCATGAATCACACATAATAAGTTTACTAGTATATAATACCGATTAAGATCTTTTCCCCAAATAGCATAAAAAAATTTCATTTTTTATTTATGTACGTAATTATTGTAATGGGCAACTTTTTCCTCAAATCAGTTAATTCGTAAACAGTTTTTTAAGAGGTGTAAAATAATAATATTAATAGTTTAATTCTAAACGAAATAGACTCGGTATATTATTTAAACCGTATTATTCCTTTGTATCAAGGTGAAAAGTAATCCTTTCAATAAATTCGGTATTTTATTTATACATTTTATGCGTGTGCAGTTGAAATGGATTAGGATTAGCATAGGATGGAATAGGATTTCACGGGTAGGGCGAAGGGGTTAAACAGGGGTTGTTCTCGTTTTCGATGATGAGGATTGGCCTGTATTTGTGAGGTGAGATTAAATCTCCAGTACTAAGCATGTTTAAAAGATATATATTTCCATTTTATTTTTTAAAGATATAAAGATGTAACGAAATTTTGTTTCCATAACTGTTTAAAACGTAACTAAATATTTAAAGTTTGCATGTTTCTTATTATGATGATTTCCTTTAATTGCTAGACAAGGATCATATCTTTATATCTTTAAAATTATTATTGTTTTGGGTTACCTGAATTTAGGTATGTATGCAAGGTAAACAATTATTATTATTTTATTATTCTGATTTATTAAGCCTGACTATAAATTATTGTAGTTTTACGTTATATATTACAAGATTTTAATCAAATTTATATAAAGGAATTATAAATTATATTAATTTTTTTTTTCACATGTAAAGGTTTTTAGAAATTCGATTTTGGCGTGTCCTTTTAAATAGTGATAATTATATTAGTTTAAATTTTTCCCTTAAGATATATTGAATTATGATAGGTGCTTTCGTTTAAGTTTTATTCGAAGCAGTGTAAATGTAATTTTAATAATGTTAATATAATATTAATAGTTTTTAATAATAATAATATTTTGGTAAAAAGTTCATACCCCTAATTCCTGGATGACGGTATGGAGATGGAGAATTCACAGGTGAATATTTCTTTTCTAAATGGGTACTAGGACTATAATTGTGCATTCTTGAACAGTTTTCTGTTCACATATCCCATTACTACTTTTAATTTTTGCGTATCTTTCAGCGCATTTTCTTTTGTGAATAGAATTCTATTTCGAGTAAAACACATTGCTTCTGAAAAATAATGATGCGTTTAAATTTATTTGCAAACATTTTCTGTGTACATGAAATTACTATTTTGGTCGAACATCAGTATTCTAAAATTTCTGTAAGAAAAAAATTATTTAATTGGATTTTTAAAAAGCTGGAATGCACAAAGATGGTGATTACCTCTATTAAAACGAGTGGGCAACCTCGCGACCTCCTGGGTCCCACATGGAACGGCGAGATTAGTTAATTTTTCTCTCCTAAAACCATGGTTAAATGTTGGAAGTCCTCTTAAAATGTTTTAATTTTAAGAGGACTTTTGCTATTATTTGAGGTAGGTATGATAAAATAAATTTAATTTCATTATATTAATTCTTCCCTCATATAGTATACTGTCTTTTTTCAAATTCGTCTTCTGGGATTTAAATTTGAGAGGCCAATGGTCAAGGTGACTGAATTTCTGAAACGCATTGACATTTATGACTTTAAAAGCGTAGACTTGGACATAAATGTGTTATTTCAATAAAAGCAATTAAAAGAAGCTTATTTAATTTCAAGTTTTTGGTAGTCGCAAGATCAGAATTAAACACTCAATTCCCTCTTAAATGGTTTGCTGTTTCCAGCATAGTAGACAATTATAATTAAGGAATGTCATATCATCAATATATGTAGCTTTATTTGTTATTTTTTTCGATAAAATCGAACAAACCAACATACTTAATGCCATTGAGTTAAAGTCTTATTATATGAGTCCGTCAGTACTTAAGAATTCTACTTATTGTATCTTACTTGACGATGAAAGATGCGAAAAAATACTGTTCATTATGTGCATAGATATGTTTGGGGCATGGGCGGTTGAGGGTGGGTCCCCAAATAGCAGCATTCTATGCACATCGCTTTCATATAAAGTAACGAATGAAGACGAACTGATTCGAAATTTGAAATACTACACATGGTATTTTTTGCAATGCTTATTTCTTGAAAAATAATTTAACTATTTGTTAATGTTGTATCATGAATGGTTTTCTTATTGAGTTGTAATGATTTATTGTAATATCAATACTTTATTTGTTAAACTAAATAATTTTCTGGCATTCAAATAAATTTTTAGGATTGAAATAAATTGTTCCTCTATTAAACTAAATTTTATTTCTTTCAATTTTTTATACAATTTGAAGAGATAAATTGAGCTCGCCAAATAAATAAAAATTGGAAAATATATTTTGTAATACAGCCATGGAAATAAAGTATAACGTCGCAAAAATATATGACATGAGACTATTTCATATTTTTATAAAATGCATATTTTGATGTAACGTAAGAATACGTCATGGTACAAAATACATTTTAAGTTTAGTTACATTATGTAAAATTTTATGAGTTTTTAGAGAACCAGGCAGAATTTGGAAGACGTGCGGATGAATGTTGTTCAGCAATTTTTAATTGCGGCTTTTAGATGAGACTTGCAAATGTACTGTCGCCCATTCTTGTACACATTTCGAGCCCGAATGCCCCAAAAGTTTTTCATTGGATTCATGTCGGAACTCCGAGATGGTCATTGAAGAAGATTTTACCTTGTTCCCCTCCATCAAGGATTTTGTAGAGCATGAAATATGCACAAATACATTGTCTTGTTGAAATGTTCAATCTTCTCATGCAATCAGAGGAGCAGCGGGCAGCAAGTGTCTGTCAGCCTGTCCTGAAATAACACGGAATTCATTTTGTTTCCGACAAAGACCAATTTTATTTGCACCACCGGTTGCATATGCAACCCAAACCATGACAGATCCTCCTCCGAATTGGCGTTTTGAAAATAGGTGGTGTTTTTTATGCATATCATACCAATAAAACTTAAATCCGTTTTCCCATCTAAATTAAACGTTTTTCATCCAAAGACAGCAATTCATTCCAGTTGGTGGCAACCGTTAAATGTTTCTTAGCAAAATTTAAACGTGAATCAATATGTAGCTTAGAATGTGAAGATTTCCTTCCAACTTCTTGTTGTTTGTTGTTGTTTCTTATCCCACTTGGCTGGCCAAGCCCACAAGCCCATATGGACTCATGATTGAAGGGGAAGGAAGCAGCTTCTGTTGTGATGGAGCACCCGTAGGTAGAAGCCTGACTTTTGCTCCGTGACGCTCTTACAGTCATAGAAGACCGGGACCTACGGCTTAAAGTGGGTTCCGAACCACTACAAACATCCATGGCACCGCCGGGATTCGAACCCGAAACCTGTGGCACCGAGCGCCAGAGCGCTAGACACTCGGCCATTCAGGTCCCAAATTTGCCAACGGCACGCAGTGTTCCCAGGTGGTCACCCACCCAAGTACTGACCGCGCCCAATGATACTTAACTTCGGTGATCTAACGTGAACCGGTATATTCAGCATGGTACCCAACTTCTTGTACACAACATTAAGAATTTTATGCAGCACCTTTCTTATTGCTCTGCTGGGCAGGGCAGCTACCTCGGCTACCTCTCGGGCAGGGCAGGGCAGCTACCTCTCGTCATTAATTTGTGAGGAAGACAGTTTTTCCTTCCAAGAAAGCATCTGCATCTGCCTTTCTTGCCTCCAAGAAATTATCTTTTGTCTTCCTGTTCACTATTTTGTGCCATAGCCAACCGGATTAAGGAGAAAGCCATTAACTACTGCCTTCGATATTTCAATTTGTCATGTAATTTCAGCACCATTGTAACCAGCATCTTTAAAATCTATTATTTTGCTTTGTACAATTTCTGATAAGTGTAATCCTCTAGACGTGGAATTAAAATACAAAAGAATAAAACACTTCTGTATACACGAAACCTGCGTTTTTTTTCTAGAACAGGAGAGAAATGTTTTTTTAAATTTATTTATTCTTGCAGATGATGTAATCAGTAGACGGCCTTATATTTTTTTACTTAGCTGTCATCTCCTAATTTTGATAAATTTACATAATCCAAAAAAATATCAGGCTTTTTTCAATTCCTACTATTAGTTCACCCTCTCCTTATACACTGAAGTGACAAAAGTCATGGGATAGCAATATGCAAATTTTCAGATGGCAGTAGCATCGCGTAGAACAGGTATAAATGCGCACTGCTTTCGCAGAGCTTTCATTTCTGTTCAAGTTATTCATGTGAAGAGGTTTTGACGTGATGATGACCGCACGACGGAAATTAACAGACTTTGAATGCGGAATGTTAGTTGGAGCTAGACGCATGGGTCATGCCATTTCGGAAATCGTTAGGGAATTCAACATTCCCAGATCCACTGTGTCAAGAGTGTGCCGAGAGTATGAAATTTCAGGCATAACATCCCACCATGGACAGCGCAGTGGTCGACCGCCTGCACTTAACGACCGAGACCGGCGACGTCTGCAAAGAGTCGTAAATTCTAACAGACAAGCAACACTGCGTCAAATAACCGCAGAAATCAATGTGGGACTTGTCTGTTAGAACCGTGCGGAGAAATTTGGCTTTCTTGGGCTTTTCCAGCAGAAGACCGACTCGAGTGCCTTTACTGACAGAACGACATCGCTTGCAGCGACTCTCGTGGGCACGTGAGCATATCGGTTGGTCCCTAGATGTATGGAAAACCGTGGCCTGGTCCGATGAGTCACGATTTCAGTTGGTAAGAGCTGATGGTAGGGTTCGAGTGTGGCGCAGACCCCACAAAGCCATGGACCCAAACTGTCAGCAAGGCACTGTTCAAGCTGGTGGTGGCTCCGTAATGGCGTGGGCTATTTTTTCATGGCATGGACTTGGTCCTCTGGTGCGACTGGACCGAACATTGACTGTAAATTCTTATGTTCAGCTACTTGGAGATCACTTGCAGTCATTCATGGACTTCATGTACCCAAACAACGATGGGATTTTTATGGATGACAATGCGTCATGTCACCGGGCCACAACTGTTCGCGATTGGCTTGGGGAACATTCTGGACAATTCCAACGAATGATCTTTCCACCAAGATCGCCCGACATGAATCCCATCGAGCATTTATGGGACATCATCGAGAGGTCTGTTAGTGCCCAAAAACCTGCACCATCAACGCTTTCCCAATTATGGACGTCTATCGAGACAGCATGGCTCAATATTCCTGCAGAAGACTTCCAACGACTTGTTGAGTCCAAGCCACGTAGAGTTGCTGCACTTCGCCGGGCGAAAGGAGGGCCGACACGATATTAAGAGGTATCCCATGACTTTTGTCACTTCAGTGTATATCTTGTTCAAATTTTCAATCGTTAATAAAATACTTTTTATTCATTCACTCAAATTCAAATACATTTTTTTAAACTTGTAGTGGATGACACTTGATGTTAATACAGTTTTTTCAAATATTATTTCATTAATTAAATTTAATTAAATAATTGTAGTTGTTTTTTAGATTTAAGTTGCATTTATTTATAAAGGACTTTCTGCAATATAGTGGAAAAAAAGTAGGAATTGACTTTAAAAAAAAAAAAATTTATTACTTGTTACAAATGTATTTTAATTTTTTATTCGGTAGCATATATTTCTTTCTGAAGTCTGAATATAAGCTATTCGTTTAAGGCAGTGGTCTTCAAACTTAGTCTACTTAAGGAATACTATTGATAATAAAATTATTTCGCAGAACCGGGATCATAAACAATAGAATATTCCTAATCTAGATAGTACTTATGAAGAAAACCGTTTTAATATTATTTTATTATATTATAATAAAAATTAAAGTATTACAAAATAAAGTTAATATGTACAAATAAAATTTTCAGGGATGATCTTACTTTGATTAATATTTATTTTGTTTTGCAGAAAACTTTAAAGTCGGGCTCTATTGCCGTTATTTGTAAACGTATTTCATGTTCAGCATCCAATTTATTTCTGTATTTTGTTTTTGTTCCAACATATGTTAAAAACGACTTTCCGCGCAAATATGTTGTAACGAAGGGCATTAAAGTTTTTATAGCTTTTGCAAAAAGTTCTGAGTAAATTTTTAACCAAAATTCAAGATCTTCTCTATCTTATCTACATTTTAACATAGAATCTGTTGACAGTTCAACCAGTTGTCCTTGTTCTGTCAGAAGTAAATTTTTATTTTTATTGAAATTTTGAAGTGGATTTTAATCCAGTCAGGTTAATCTTGTGAGGAAAGTAATTCCTGATAATGGTTTTTAATCGTAAAATATGCTTCTGAATTATGTCTTTAAAACCTTTATTCAAATTTATTCCATTTTAGATTAGGAAATCACTTAGTTTTTAAATCATTGTGTATTATTTTTTTTCACATAAGATTCCCACAAATCTTATTTTAATATTATAGCATTGATTTTATTATTCAGTTTAATAAAATTAACTTTAAGGCTTTGAAGAGATTTATTAAATTCATTTAAAGTTAGAAATATGTTTTCCAAATATACCAGTAGCTGTAGCCATATTTCCTCATTAAAATTTTGAGCATAATTATGTTTACTGTTTTTTAAAAAAACTAATTTAATTCAAAAAATCGATTATCCCACTATAACCAACTCCCTTCCGTATGTAACAATAAGGTTTTATACAGTTAAATAATAAACTAAATAATCTTAAATATCTGTACAACTTCATTCAGAATGTTCTTTAATGTTTTTGACATTCTTTTTACTACTACTAACTGATGAAGATGAAGGTAACGAGAATGTTCAATATGTGGAGATATTGCAATAACTCGTGATATAGCTCTTTTTCCTCGATCTAATAAAGATTTTGCACCATCAGTTCAAATATGTGAACTTAAATCCCAGCGTAGATCGTATTCATACATGCATCAATTAATAAGTTTTAAATTTTCTTGCCCAATAGTTCTTCCTACAAATGATTTACAAATATATATATATATAATCTTGGATTGAAGAATTAAAAACGTAACGAAACAATATCAAAATAGCTAATCCAGCAGCATTTGTAGATTCCTCTAATTGCAACGCAAAACGATGCGAAGAAATTTTTAATCGACACAAAAGTTCACGCTCACAGAATTGTGCCATTTCTTTTATTCGCCTTGCCACTGCAGTATCAGAAAGTGGTTGTTGTTGTTGTTGTTGTTTCTTATCCCACTTGGCTGGCCAAGCCCACGAGCCCATATGGACTCATGATTGAAGGGGAAGGAAGCAGCTTCTGTTGTGATGGAGCACCCGTAGGTAGAAGCCTGACTTTTGCTCCGTGACGCTCTTACAGTCATAGAAGACCGGGACCTACGGCTTAAAGTGGATTCCGAACCACTACAAACATCCATGGCACCGCCGGGATTCGAACCCGAAACCTGTGGTACCGAGCGCCAGAGCGCTAGACACTCGGCCATTCAGGTCCCAAATTTGCCAACGGCACGCAGTGTTCCCAGGTGGTCACCCACCCAAGTACTGACCGCGCCCAATGATGCTTAACTTCGGTGATCTAACGAGAACCGGTATATTCAGCATGGTACGGCCGTTGGTATCAGAAAGTGGTATGTTATTAATGTCTTTAATGAAATTATCTCCAAATTTGCAAGAGATTACATCAATAAGACAAGGTTTATTGACAAGGTTTACATCAAATTACATCAATAAGAAGGTTTTATTTGCCATTTTTCAGTAATAATATGTGCTACGTCCTCCCTAGCGGTTCGATAACTAATTCGAATAGAAACCTCAAAAAATGCTTTATAATCAGAAAACATGTATTTAGAAAATGCGTTCTTTTTGCTAAAAAGCAATGTTCTTCATGTTTTCGTTGAAAATATTCAATAGTTTTATTACGTAGATATGAGAGAATTCCAAATGTCTTTTTTAGTTTGGCTGGATTTAAATTATTGTTCCTACAACTTTTTTGCATTCAACACATAATCCAACATTCATCATCTTTATTTCCGTTTCCTCTTTTAAATTAGATGCTTTTAATGATTATTAAATTAATTTTAATATTCAAGTGCTTTTTTTTTAACAAAAATATTTTTTATATTGAGTACAGGGAAAGTGTATACCTTTTTTTGTTGTTATTGCTTCTTAAGATTAAGGGCTTGTGTTCCTCTTATATATGCCATAAACAGACCATCAACAGATGTTGAGAGGAAGATATTACCTTCCGGAAGGACTTTTAACATGTAACTTTCCTACATATGCCATTTGTTGTATACTGTAAAACCAGAAAATTATGAGTAAAATTGCAATCTGTTTATTAATTCTTTTTAAAAAAACATTATATATTATTAGAAAATTCTCTCTAATTTGTTAAAAAATACTTAGCGTTTAGTTGCGATTTGACCAAAGTGTTTAAAATTCACCATATTCAAAATAAAACAAAAAAACCTTTATAAATAATTTGTTATGGAAGAAAAAAAAATCTTTGAAGTTTTTATATTTAAAATTGAGAATTCTTTACCAATCTTAATATTATTATTAATAGTTTTGAAAT